GCTGCGATGCCCACGGCACGGCCCTTCCCCGGCAGAGGACGCGTGCCCCGCCGTGTGCCAGGTGCGCAGACAGTCCTGGCCTGGATGGCAGGCATTGCGTAAGGATCTGTGAAAGATGCGGCCCAGCTCCTTGCATTGCAGGACGCTCCCCGGAGCCTGTGCTGCTGCCTGCTGAGGGGAAGGAGAAGAGTGAGAGCCCCAAACCGCAGTGAGCGCGGCCCCAGGCCCAGCATCTGCTCAGACCCCAGAACTGCCCCTGCTCAGCCCCCAACGCCCACAGCGACGGGGCAGCACTAGGCCAGGCCAGGTATGGCGCAGCAGGGGCAGCTGGAGATCGGGATGGAGCCGTGCAGCTGGACTGCGGGCCGCAGATGCCAGGCCGGGGCTGGCAGGCAAGCAGGGTGTGGGCTGGAGAAATCAGAGGCCAGCGCGCTTAGGAGATGGCTGGGCTGGCCCTCGGAGAGCCTGCTGCTGCCCTTGCAGCTGCGCCGCCTCCTGCAGCCCCTGGCAGCTCTGGCTGCTGGGGGGAGACAGCCGGAGCCCTTTGAGCAGGCTGGGCTCGGCGGGGCCGTGCAGACGCAGGACAGCAGCACTTGTCCCTGCGAGCGGCCTTCCAGCCCTCCTGCCCCCTGCCCCGAGGGAAGAGCTGTCACCGCTGCCTGCTCTTCCCTGCCAGCTGGGCCAGGCGCCGTCCCTGCTGCCCCAGTCCCGGAGGTGTTGCCCAGCCTGTCCCCTGTGCGAGAAATGCTGACCTGAATCCAGGGCCACAGGCCAGCCGGCAGTCACAGGCCTCAGCACTGGCGTGGAGAGGCAGTGGCTAGGTACACGGGTGGGAGCAGCTGCCACCGCCCACTCCATCCTCCCTTTAACCACCAAGTCGGGAGAGACAGGCCGGTGGCATCCAGGTGAGCCCCCGCAGGACAGGCCTCGCTCCCCAGGGTGGTGCAGCTCCCCCTGGCCTCGGCCTTGCCCTGTGCGAGCCCCCACACGGGGCTGGAGTCCAGCAGCAAACACGAGGCATGAGTGGAAGCAGCTCCTCAACGCCAGTGAGACCCCCCCGCCCCCCAGCTCTGCAGGGAGCAGGATTGGCGCTGGGGTCCTGCACCTGGCACAGGGGGGGGCAGGGGGAGCCGGGCACCTGGGCCCCGGGCTTCCTATCTGAGCCCCGCTTTGGCTGTCGGACCAGGCACTTCCTTCCTCCAGGTCGCAGGGCACGACCCCAGCTGTCCGCCAAGTCCCTTGCACGAGGCACAGGGCCAGGTTTGGAAAGCAGCAGGCGCTGCTGGAGTCCGTAGAGGCTCCTAATCCCCATGGACGCAGCACCTGGAGGCCCCCAAAACCCCAGCAGGCTTTAGCCACTTTACAGACCCGGCTGGGGACTTTCCTGAGCGGAGACGGGTGCCACGAGGCCGAGACAGGTGCCAACGAAACCCGGACTCGGGCCCTGCCAGGGCTCAAGGCATAAGCGCTCTGGTGCTTTCTGCAGCACCCGCTCCGCTCTGCCCGGACCGTGCAGGGCTGCGCAGGACATGGGCACCTCCTGCGAAAGGCCAGGGCTGGAGGAAGGAGACGAAGCCCCTGCGGGTGGTTGGAGAGCACAGCGTGGACAGGACGGGTTTGTGATGCTGCAGCGAATCCTCCGCGATACACGGAGAGGGCGACAGCCCCCAGCCCCTGCCCCGGGAGCTCACCCACTGGCTCAGCCCTTGGGAGTCGCTGCAGGCAAGCGTGGCCTCAGCGTGGGGCGAATCGCGGCTTCGAGCTAGTTTAGTGGCAGACAAAGTGTCCTCGTGCTTCAGCCCTGTCTTCATTACAAGCAGTGCAGGTGCGACGTGCAACGAGGCAGGGCCTCTGCCCTGCGGCATCCCGGGCCAACCCTCCCCTCCAGCGCAGGCTGCCATGGGCCGA